TAATATACATGAATATTATTATAAATAAGGCTCTTGGCAATATTTATATTAAAAATTATAATCGGAGATTAATGTTAAAGGTCTGTGTCGCTCTCTACTTTTATAAGAGCTAGAGAATATGATACCAGTTATAAATATTCAAATTGCACTACTATATACCTTCTTCATGATCTTCAGAGGGCTCTTGAGGTTGTGATTYGAGAATATGATCAAATACACCATGATTATAAAATGTTGATATATAAATTATATAAAAGTTAATATATGATATGATGCTCATTGCTCAYGCACCTTACCTTATTTACAGCTGTATTTGATTGTTGCAGATGATTTAATAAGGTTAAAAAATTTTAAACATTTGAATCCAAATAAATACACCACTGATATATTTTTGTTAAAATGATAAAAACCAGTTGTCGTTGACAGGATCTGATGTGGTTTATTTAACTGGTGCTCATGCACTGTTGATGAGAGATGACATGGTCAAGCAGGCCAGAGTCGCAGGCGGCCCTATCAAAGGCCTCCGCGTTTCCAAAAACTTGGCRTTATCCTTGGACACAGAGACCATCCTTTGTCTCTGGCACACACAAAATATATCACACATGTTGTGCTAGATTGCCACAACTACAYGAGTTCCTAAGTGACCAAATAATGTAAATCGTTCCTTTTATCAGTAGTTAATGGTGTTTTTTGGATTTTAACAGTTATCTGCGTGTGAAAACTTGACCTTCATTCATGTTATTGAATATTTAAACAACATACAATYATGATATGTGAGCATATCATTACAGAATAATATTAAAAACTTTTTTGATCAAAGATTCTCATTTCTACTTAAATTATTTTAGAAAATTCCAAAAGGTAATGAAGAGTATAGGTACATCAGTAGAACATAATTATGAAATCTAATTTAAAAGTATTTGGTGTGACCAATAGATTCAGTTTTAGACTTTTAAATGTACAATTTTATACATTATTTTACAATGGTATCATTACAAATCATTGAATAATTTATAATTAAAAGCCTATAATATACACAATTTTTTTTTAATTTAGTACACTTGTTAAATATTACTGTGTAATTTACATTATTAAAATGAATTAATAATGTTTTATTTTGTAGATTCAAGAATATATTTTAAAAAAATGGTGAAAAAAAAGGTTCGTTTTACAAAAATAAAAAGTATATGTATAATCTATAAATCTAATAAACATTAAAATGGAAAGAATTTAGAATCTACTATAAATTTAAAATGTATTGAAGTATGTCTAATTATCTTTTAAATTATACATTTTAGACATCAAAAAAATTAACTAAAATATCACCAAAAAAGAAACTTAATACTTTATCCTATGATAATTATGAAAAAATTATGATTGACAACAAAATAAGGGTCACCAAATCAAAAAAAGGTTTTTATAATTTTTTTTTTTTTTATAATGTTTTGATTTGTTAAATATATTTTTTATAATTTTTAGATAAATGGTCAGATCCTATTTCTAATGTAAATTCGTCAGAGGATGATAAAAAATTGTAAGTACCTACCCATCTATAAATATTAATTTGAGTTAATAGTGTATRTTCTTGTTTATTGAATATTTATGATTTGGAATTGAATGTAATGTATTTATATAATTAAGCTAAAACATACATATTTTTACATAATTTTAGTTTCACAATTAACCTAAGTATTTTGAAATGTGTGTTGATGAATCATTTATATCTGAAAATGTCTTATATAAATAACCATAARTAATTATGTTTATTGTATATTTAGTATGTTTTATAGTCTTTTAAATAAACTAGTATTAAATAAATATAATTTATTTATGCATTAAAACATTTCTTTTTGTAGATCAAAAACACAAAGAATAAACATTAAAAAAAAAAAGAAAAAAGATTCCAAGGTTGTAACTTTTTTTCTCTATTATCTATAAAATATTGAAATATTATTTTTAAATTATTTATATTACTCAAATACAGGTCCGCTATTTAAATAATTTAAAAAATGATAACTCTACAATTCCTACAGAGAAGAGAGCTTATTGTCAAATAGATGAATGCCTTGTATTGATTTCAGATTGTAATCAGAACAAAGAAAATCATAAATCTTACAAGGGTTAGTATTAGTGCTGACATTCCTAAATGTTACAATACAATATTATATTATAACRATTTTATATTTAGCTTCTACTATCATTAATACAAAGAATAGTTCAGAGAAAGACAAAGATTATTCATCTATGTAAGTATACAAATCACCAAATTCTTTATTTTATTTTCAAAATGTTTATTATTGTTATTATTTAACTTGAAGTAATATTTACAATCTATACTTACAAACTAATATAAGTAAATTTGATTTGTTTATAAGAAAAAAAAAAGTTTTAAATTTCATAAATAAATAAGGAAGAAAGCTACTCAATAGTAGCTTCTTTGACTGAGACAATTTTAAATATACATTTTAGAACACCTATAAAAATTACTGAAATTCACCTATTTTTGAATGAT